GGGGGGGGGGGGGTTCTGGAGGTATTGAAAAGTGAGAGTAAATTTAAGAGAAAGAAAACAGAGGGGTGTTTCTGATAATAATTCAAAAATTAATCCATGGCCATCCCATAAAATATGCAACAACCACACCTACCATTTTGTTTAAGATCAATCTGATTTGGGCGGCTTTTTTTATTTAGGAAGTTAAATCAAATTTAATATGTAATTGACGATTTATTTCATCTAAAAAACAAGACCGCCACATCATCTTTGGTGAATCTTTTATTTGAATCAAGAAACTTTATTGTTAATATGATAAATAACCACTTGTCTAATGAGAATCTCTTCAATTTGGGTGCATCCAATGACATTTGTCTAATTTAAGAACTTGATTGCTAGTCATACCACCCAATACAAACTGTGGGCTTCTTTACATATAATTACTAGAAGAGACTCATGCTATATATGCATGGACTGGTGTTAAAGATACACATGTTTTCTAGGAGAATGAATACATTTAAGTTATGTTTGGTTTGAAGAAAAAGTAAGAAAAGAAAAGAAAAGTTAGGGAAACGTTCATAGGTTTTCTTACCTTTTCTTTATTTTTCTTACATTTTCCTTCAAACCAAACATAGCTTTAGTTTCTTTCCAAATAAAATAGAAACAAGGCTAGCTCTCACTTTTGAATTGAGCAGCTGCATACAAGGCGCATCAAAAATCTGTTAAATAGTTTTAGTTCCACATTTTTTGTTCATATAAATAGGGAACGAAACCTTGTTGCTCATACATTTGCTTACACAGTTTGTAAAGGCAATATAGCCTTAAGCTACTCATATAACAATGGAGCTCATGTCAAGTTTACTAGCATATAATAAATAAAGCTGATTCTTTTGACTACAAAAGATAAATAATAAAATAGAAACAGAATTTACCATAGGTGAATTTAAATAGCAATTTTTATATAGGAAAAATGTATGATGCCCCCAAATGTATGATGCAGGAAGAGTTTTGACCAATGAACCATGCATCCCTGTGAATTTTGATAAATACCACGTACATATCCATTAATACAAAAAATTCACAAAATTCCAAGGGATTGGGGAATTAATGTAAGTAAGCTGACGTGGAGAACTACATGTTAAGTATATATTGTATGGATAGAGAAAGGTTAATATGAAGGGCTATATACACAAAATATGATTTTTAATTTTTTCAAAGAAGAAATTTAATTAATATAATCTTAACAACGCAAATAGTGGTAGAAGGGGACCTCGTTTTTGAGCCTACCCAAATAAGTATTTGGGGAAAGTTACAACTTACAATACCTACCGACTTGGTCAAATCAAACCTGTTTTTCAAAGATTCAGCAAACTTTGAATCATCACCTACGATTATTGGACACAGAATTAACTTAAGGGACTACTAGCTAGAGATGCGATAAGACCGGCAGGTTTAATTTAGAGAACCTGTAAGATGCAACTATGAGTTGGATCAGTCTAACCCGGAAAAAAATTGGATTGGCTTTGTTTTGGGTTGAAAGTTGAAACCATTAACCCGATTCAACTTCAGATTGGATGGTTATTGAAAGCATGAAAATAGATTTAACTTTTACATATACACATATATCTGTATGTAAATGCTTGTATCTATGTCTAGATTTCAACAATTTTGAATTTATAGATAGGTATTTTTTAGGCTGATATTAAGAGACCATTTTCTAAAACATTGTTTTTTTATATGTGATACCTACATGACTCCGTTTTTACAGAAAGCGGCATCGATGCCAAACACCCACTTAAATTGTGTTAGGGTTGACCTTAACCAGACCCAACCCGGCTCAACTTGCACCCAGATATCGGAGGTGAACAAAGGCCGTTATTCTAGCTGCAATCATCTGCCCTAATAAAAATGAACAGGATGGAGGCAAGCAATAATCTCCAAATATTCTATTTTCTTTATAAATACTCACGCACACCAGCGCATACCGTTGTTTTAACATAAAATCCATCTACATCTCTACTAGCTTCCTTGCTCCACTAGCTGTTCCCACGACATGTCTCCCAATCACAGTGATCACTATATCCCATTTTGCTCTCCACCACCTTCGCCGCTGTCACATGATAACCCACCTCCTCAGTTGACCCCACCACAGCAGCCTCCTCCTGTGACACCACCAACACCATCTCCTTCTCCTCCTGTGGCATCACCCCCGCTTCCTCCACCTCCTGTGACACCACCACCACCATCTCCTTCTCCTCCTAAGACATCACCCCCGCCTCCTCCTCCTCCTCCTAATAAGACATCACCCCCGCTTCCTCCACCTCCTGTGACACCACCACCACCATCTCCTTCTCCTCCTAAGACATCACCCCCGCCTCCTCCTCCTCCTCCTCCTAATAAGACATCACCCCCGCTTCCTCCTCCTGTGATACCACAACCACCACTTCCTCCTCATAAGACATCACCCCCACTTCCTCCTGCTGTGATACCACCACCTCCTTCGTCTCCGGTAGCACCAGCACCACCCCCAGGAGATCATACCACAATCATTGTTGTTTGCGTCTCACTCGGTGGTGTCTTCTTCCTTGCATTTCTCGCAATAGGACTCTTTTGCTTATATAAGAAGAAGAAGCGGGAAATAGTGGAAGGAACCGAATGTGCAACCGTAGAGCAACACTTGGAGGTGCAGGAGGCTATTGTACCGGGGCCTCATGGTGCAGAAACAGTGATAGTTTCAGTTGAGGAGGACGTGCATATACAGAAAGGAATCGAGAGGGAAACAGTTGGCGAAAGGTCACAAATATAAGTAAGTAGCGCACACTGCACAGACGACGATTCTTGTGATACTTGATCGGGCCGGCCGGAACATCCTTACTCCTATCTGGTTCTGGTTATCATCATGCATATGCTTCCTGAGCACAAGAACATCCGATTGCAAATAATTTTACTTGTCACATATATGGTTAAGGCTGTCTAATTGGCTTTCCCTTTTAAAAGAAGATAGCATGGCATGGTTTGGTTTGATGTGGTGAAGTTTCATATTGTGTCTTGTGCTATTAATTTGGAAGTATATATACGTTTTTAATTCTTTTCTTTTTAGGATAATTGGAAGTGTAATTTGATACCATATATATCCGTCAATTATATATGTTGTTGTGGGACATTAATTGTTATATATGCTCATTTTCTTTATCCTAATAATCCATGTCGCTTTGTATTAATTTCATCAAATAAAGGTGGTCTGAACTGTTTAGAATATACTTTAGTACTAGCAGTGTTTCCACACTTGTTACTCCGGCCAGATTCTTGCACATTTGGGTCGGGTCTGCCCAATTGAACTAAATCAACAGATTCGATTATATCAGTTCTGGTTCTAAATTTTGTGCCCTGATTATAATTGGGATGGGACTATTTCTGTTCTTCTGAAGCAATTGTTAATTTAGCTAATAATATGTAAAGGTCTCCCTTGTTTTTTTTTTTAAACTTTTCTTGTCATATGTTATATATTTAAAAGAGTAAATTCCATATACGATCGTATATAAGATAATTTTGGATAAAACGTAATTGAATCGGTTCTAGGTCTATTTTATAGAACTGATTAATAATTGGTTTGGACCGGGCTAGTTCATCCTGCCCCGAATAACTACACCTAACACATTGATATTTGATAGTTCTATGCACATTCTCTTTTTGTTTTGTTTCGTCCAGCACTTCCTAGCTACGCTAACCAATCATTACATGACAAGTGTTGTGTAATAACTCTTGATTCCCAACCACAACCAGTTCAGGCCTCCTACCCTTAACGTTTTATATTTAAAAGCATACACTAACCAGTGGAAGGAAATTCATCAAAAATCAGGGGAGGAGGGGGTTTCTGATTGGTCAAATTAGTTCTTCTGATATCATACCTATTTCTCATGTTCACGTTTGACCAAAGAAACTCCTCTGTGAATTTTGATAAATTGTCATTGATTAGTGCAGGTCATAGTATAAAGCATCAAGTGTAAGAGACCCAGACTTGCAATATGGTCTGTATTTTTACAATATTTAWTCTTTTTTAGGGCAATTTCTAAGTGTATATATAATACCAGAAGAACTTTTGCCAATCAGAAACCCCCTTTTGTTGAAAATTGATGGATTGATTGGTCATCTCATTTATGATACCGATTGATTGGTTATCAGATTAGTAATACGTATGTATGCTGCTACCATAAAAATGAAATCTGATGATTTTTCAGGGTTATGGGCTTGTGCTTGTGCCCCCGTTGTGTGGTGGTGTGTATATAGAGTTAACTTTCATTTCTTTTTTGACTTTGGCTATGGAGGAAATGGTCGTGTTCAGGGTGATGTTAAAGCCACTTCACACATTGAAAAGCACAAAAGTATATCCATAATAAATTAGGAGGTATGGTGGTGTGTAAGAGGATTGAGAATCAATATTAATTAGGAGGTATCTACATCATCACCATCATCATCATCACCCAACTCTTATCCTAACTAACTACTCAACTGTTTCCGAATGTCCCTTACCAAGTTATTCAAGTAAAAGTTTAAGAAACATTTACTCAGAGTAAGTTTATTTACCCATATTCTTTTAATTTCTAGATAAGTTAATTACTCACTCGGGAGATAGTTACATATCACTTATTCGGGAAGGAACCTCCCTTAGAAATAGAAATTAAAAAATCTCTTTTCGTATTGCTTTGCCTTTTCAGGAAAGATTTCTCCTCAAGAGAAAGCAGTAACCGCCTGCCAGGTCTTTTATTACTCTATATGTTTTCAATGGCTTCTTCACTTCCAAGAGAACTTTAAACCTCTCTAGTTTCTTCTAGAGTGTGCTTTGTTTGCCATTACCAGCCTGCAAATCCAAACTTCTTCCTTATACCATCGTTCTATGCTTCCAAGAGATTTACATTGTTTTGCAGGTAACAAATTCAAGTCTAAATGTTGTCCACTCTGTTCAAGGAAAATAAAACAATACAATGAAGACAACAATATTGGCAAAATGCATGGTAGTAGCTCACCTTGTTCTCCAACTTAATGGTCACTTGATGCACGTAAGGTGAAGAACTCCTTTCTCATCTTTGAAAGATCAAATTAGGAAGACAAAGACAAATACATGCATAAAGGGTATTCTAAGTATTTAAAAACTTCTAAAGGCTTAGTTTGTAAAGAGAACAAATGCAAATATGTACAATGTAAATACTTACAAAATAATACAAAAATGCAAGGTTTTTCACTTAAACATTTATATTTATACTCTTTCCAAACTGAGACAAAAGGACACATGATGTGTTGTATGTTTTCTTGACAAAATAATGATACATTCTTAAAAGTACCCTTAAGGTTTAGGAAATTAATTAACTCTACCCTTATTTGTTTACATATTGTCTTAAAGTATACCCATGTTTTCTGACAATGGTCTAAAACCTCCCCTGCCATTAGCTTTCCATTATACACCATTCACATGTAACATCACGTGATTGATATACTCTTCAAAAATTCCAAGAATACCCTTTTGTGGTTAAAAGAACCTCTATCCCGTTAGAGATCTTCCACAGAGAGAGAGAGAGTGAGCAACGAGGAGCATAGCAGAGGTCATATGTTGACGACTGTGATGAGTGTGACATATAGAGCAAGGATGGGAAGAACACTTGGCTGAATTCCACTGCAAAGCTATAAACATTCAAAATGTCAAAAACCCCATTCTATAAACCAATGCACACCCATGAATTGGCATCAATTCCAAACTAGCACCTACCCCGACTATACTTTGGGCCTAAAAATTCTGACCCTGGGCTGAACCGTCATTCTTCCATTTTGTTTCCAGTTTTAATAAAGGTATGTACCATGGAAGCTCATTCTCGAATTAGAATCATTGGTTATAGACATTGTCTTATAATTAGATCTATGTACGTAGGTTAGACATATTCTATTTCTATCAAGTAAAAGATATGGACAACAACCGGTAACCCCATTTTGATCACAGAATTATGTGTACTTGTATATGAATGTAATTGTTGTTATGGCTTTGACAAACGGCCAGCACCCTGTTTTTTGTTTGGGGTTTTAACCGTTCAGTCCACCCCTAGAAATCTAGAGCTCCACTCTAGGGGTGGACTGAATCCTGACCGTGGATTGATGCCAAATCCACAGGCGGGATGCGGTTTATAGGGGGCTAGTAGTAGACTAGGAGGGGGCTGCAATTCAGATTTCGGAGGGARATTACAGTCCAAAAATCCCTTTTTTGTTTTAGTTTCCTTTTTTTCTTTGATTTGTTCATCTTCAATGATCAAAGACGATGTGATATACAAGCGGAAGGATCGAAATAAAAGAAGAAAACCTAAAACAAGAGCAATAGTACTCTATTGTTATCTTTTACCCTGTTTATTTCAGGGTGTTGTTGTTGTTGTTGTATATGAATGGAATTGGATAACATTGAATGTGTCTCATCCTTGGATGGGATTGATGAGGAAGAAATCCATCATCATCAGCTCTCCAAGCCCCACAATAATGTGTTTCCTGTTAGACAGTTTTGTATGCCTTTAGCTTCAATCAGAATGATGTACACTATGAGTTTATTGTAAATGAATAAAAGTACATATTTGATT